GAGAAACAGCAGGACGGGGAGGAGGCAGGGCTGCACCGGTGCTCAGGTGATTGGCTGGACCGACTGCCAACATGGGATGCCAGGAGGCAGCGGCAGTACTTGGGAAAGCCAAGGGGTTTTGGGGGAGTTGCCCTGCGTGGACCTGCTCTTCCTCCAGCTTCCTCAGCCCTGGGCCAGGGGCAAGCTGTGCTCTGTGACAGCTCCCCCTGGGCCAAGGATGCCAGGAGCAGCCGGCGAGGTATTCCCGGCCATCCTGAGCCGGGGACCAAGCTCCTGGATGAACTGCCAGGGATCACTGCAGGACCCCCAGCACCTCCGGGGCCGCAGGAGAGCTCGCTGCATGAAGGCAGAGCAGATTTCCCTCCCCATGCCACTGCAGGCCAGCCAAGGGGATGCTCCCACAGCCCCTGCCCCTCCTCAGGGAACCAATGGTTCCCCAGGGTTTGCCACCTGTTCCTAGTGGGATGTGCAAAGCTGGCATCACCCTCCTCCTCCTCCTCTTCCTCCTCAGGAGACTGTTGTGCTGCAAGTGCTGGCCTCCTCACTGCCACTTCCCTGTGTCTCTGCCAGGCCCAGAGGATGGCTGCTGGGTCACCTCCTCACCCAGGGCATGAACAAGATGGAGACTTTCCCTGTGGCAGCTCCAGGTGGTACCTGGGCGCCCAGACCTGCCCCCCACCCACAGGGATTTTTTTGCGGTGACACCTCCGTGCAACCTGTGCCACCTAGTGCTGACACGCTCCCTCCTCACACACTTCATGGGGTGTTCTGCAAAATGCATGCTTTTGGGATTTTCTTGGCTTGCTGTGGCAAATTTCTTTCCCATTCGAAGGAGCACCTCCAGGCTGCTGCACAGTTGCCCAAGGATGGGTTTTGCTGAAGTTTCAGCTGTAGAGCTGTTGCTCTAGTCCTGGATGTGTCTGGTGGGAAAAAAAAACCCTATATAAAAATATGTATATATACACATATCTGGACGATGAAGCAGCCTCACTTCTGCTGCTGTTGCCCCTCGCCCTCCTGATGGCTGGTGTGGTGGGAAGCACTTTGTCACCTCCGGGATGCAGTTCAGCCTTGAGCTATCCCAATGTCACCAGCCAGCCAGGGCACACAGAGTGGCAGTGACAGCCAGCCAGGCTCAGCTCGGAGGCCAGGGCTGGTGGTTTTCAGGCTGACACCCTCTCCGCTCACCGCGGTGGACCTGGGCTCCAGCAGCAGCTGTGAGCGAACAGCCTGCCGTTGTTTTTGACGGTACGAGGACAGCACATCTGTGCAGATGTGAAATCCTACAGGCTCTGGCCAGGGAAACGCAGACCTCTGGATGAACCTTCGCCTCCAGCGTCCCTTGTCTGCCATCAGCAGCCGAGCACAGAACCCCGAAAGCGGAAGGCGGCGCAGGGGAGGAACCACACCATGTCAATGCTCCGGCCCCTGGCGCACCCGGCCCCAGCATCGCCTCACCCAGGGAACCCCTGCCCTCACCTCCCTGCAGTCCGAATTGCTGGGCACAGGTCTGCACAACGGGCACAGCTGATGGAATCAGCTGAAAAGTCCCTGATTTTGATCAGGGACTTCTGCAGAGAATCCCTGGGCATTTGCTCCCCAAGGCTGTGAACTCCCTGTGCAGGAGTGCCCGGGAAAGTGAGCCGGGTGCAGACTGAGAGCCGTCCAAGGTGCCCTGCAAATACAGAAAGGCTCTTCACGGATGACGCCAAAGGCAGAGTGAACCACACCGCTCGGACAGGAAGAGATTTGCTCCTGCAAATCACAGGGCAGCCCATGCTTCTTGCCACTCCTGGCTTCCAGGTCTCCAGGGAGAAATGCCCCTGGTCCCCACGAGGCTTTCACATGAGGGGTCTCCCAAGGCCAGGAGGAACGAGCAGCAGGACAGAGGCTCAGTAGAAAGTAGGATAAAGCCACTTGCCCAATGTCACAGCTGTACTGCAGGGTGATGGACGCTCACTCCTAGCCCCGGTGTTAGGGAGGCAGAAGGGTACCTGGTTATCAAAGTACATCAAATCTCTTTCCCCAAGAAGCAGTGACAGCAATGCTGTTTTCTGTGCATTCCCCTGACTGCAGAGCACAGTGTGGAGTCGTAAGGCAAATGCTGAGCACCTCTGAGCCAGCCGAGGGCACCAGTGCCTCTCACGTCAGCAGCTGCGTATCAAATACTCCCCGAAGGACAGAGGAGCTTTGCCTTTCAGCTGTGTCCCATAGCACAGGCACAGCCAAAACACTTTCCACAGAAACTCTTGGTCTGGCTGGGAAAGGACGTCCCATGCAGAACACAAAAATCAGGAAAAAGCTTTATTTGCAAAGAAAATATTGACAATTTACACAAACTTACATCCTAATTTATATACATTATGTATATTTTATATACAGATAGTGTCTTGGATAAAGATGTCAAAGCACAAAACAGCATCAGCATATCACCGTGCAGCTCTAACAGGTAACAGGAGGAGTCGTGTCTCTCTTCCCATGACTCCTCTCCTGTTATGCTTTTGCTGGGGAGTCTGAGAGGCTTCCTCCCAGCCTGGGCGTTGAGGAACATGGGATGTGGGGAGGTCAGGCTTATAAGTGGGCACAGCCACAAAGCGCACCTGCGCTTGTCCCTTCCCCTTTCCCCCAAAGCCTATGCCAGGACCGGCCGGGGCCAGAGCAGGTGGCACCAGCCTGCAGCAACCGGGAAGGAATCCCTGTGCTCCATCCCTTACTGGGAAGAGAGGAAGAAACATGAATGAGCTACTGCAGTTCGCTCATCTCCCTCCCAACACAGCTTAGGTGCCCTTTTCTAAGCACCTGATGCTGTTCGTGCAGCGGAAGGACGATGCCAAGTCCCCAGATGGGGACAGTGGGTGACAGGGAGATTACAACTGCTTACCTGGCTGAGAAAGGTGCTGGAGGGAAGCAAGGGCCAGTTTTGCGTAGGGAGCCAATGACCTAAAGCCTTTACTGAAGGGAACTCTTCCCTCAAAAGGGCCCCTGAACACCACAGCCAAGCTGGCTTCCCTAGAAACTGTAGAGAGGAGCCTGGGAAGAAGTGTTTCAGATGATGCACTATAGACAAAGTAGCTGCTTGCTCTGTTTCTGCAGCTGGAATCCAGCCGGAGGTTGGGCAGCAGAGCCAAGGCACGTAGGTAAAAGCAGAGCCAGCAAGTACTGCTGGAGAGAAAGGCTAGCATACGGGGAGCCAGTGGTAACTGGTTTTGTGTCCACCATCTCGGATACACAGATGTTTGTCTATAAATGAAGCCCGCCCTTCTCATCCAGACCAGGAACTGAGATACATCAAAATTCAAAGACAGCAGACAGAAAGTCTCGAGCAAGGCCCTGTTCCTGCTGGAGTTCGTCAAAACCTCCCCTGCGCCTCCTCCTCATGCTCCTCTGAGCTCCTTCCAGGCCTTTTCAGCTCCAGTGAAGGGGAAGAGGCACCAAAGATGGTGGGACACCATCTACAGAAGCATGGCACAGAAGCAGCTCTACTACAGCCTAGGTAACCTGCACTGTAATACTTCATTAGTGAGAACTTGTTGTTAGAGAGGCCAAGGGGTTTCAAGTATAAAGACTCTCCACCACTGCCTCAGGACTGGTGATCTGCCCGCTCGCCCCAGGGATGAACATGGCTCTCTGTACCGAGGACACCTGCAGTCAGATATTCTCTGCTGTCTATGTCTCCCAACTCAGCTACACCGAGCTCACGCTTTGGTGTAACTCGAGTACCAGAAAAAGCCCGTTAGCACCTTCCATGGCAGCAGGAACTGCTCTCCTCCCACATCCCAGGCACATGCCAGACAGCGCTGCACGGGGCTTTTACAGAGAGAAAGGATCTCCCTCTGCCTCCTCCTGCCCGCAGCCATTGTCGGGAGCAAATCACAGATCCTGCCAGTGGGGGACAAGGAATGCAAATTCCGTCCATCGTGCTCTCCCAAGTCATTGCGTTATTTACGCTTGCCCCTAAGTCTTGCTGATCAGGCTGTATTCTAAAGCAATTCTGTTAATGATTTTCTTAATGTTCTCACTAGACACAGTTGTCCTGATTCATTCTTGTCAGAGGAACATGTCCTTCTTAAGCCATTTTACAGGAAATAAACCACAAAGACCAGTTAAGTGTCCCTAAGGCTCTTGCTAGTCCAACATGTTAAGGCTAGAAAGGAGAACATATTGAAAAAGAAAGAGCAGGCAATTTTTCATCCAGTTATTTTACAAACTGCACGCCTCCTGTGAATAGCGAGGCCGTAGCCAAAGCTGGGTGCCCCCAAGAAATATTTATCTCCCAATAACTGCAATACTTGGCAAGTGAGATCACTCATTACGGACAGGGAAAAGCGATGGAGCCAAGAATGCTTCAGCCAGGGTGGACCATTCTGCGGTCAGATCAGTCGCCACAGCATAGTGCTGAGACACATCTGCTTCCATGTCCCTGCAGGTGACCACAGCTGAGCCACCTCTGTTTAGAGATGGAGGCCATCCCCAAGACATCCGTTCGGGATTCATCTCATTTGCTACATAGGCTGAAACTTCTCTACCCTCTTTGGTTTTTTAAAGAAAAAAAACATACTTAGAAAAGAAACTCACTCAAAAAAACCCAACCCAACACAACTGAGCACAAGCCAAGGCATGACACAAAAGAGCAATTAGCGCTTCAGCCTCTTCCTCCACTCGAGCACATCTTATAGCTTTAGGTCTCCCCAGTTGAGGGGAGGTAACGGGAGAGAGTTGCTCAAGAAGCCAAAAGAAACAATAGCATCCCAGCTCTTCTATTAGTCACCAGAAATCAAGTTATGACTAGACTCAGCAGGGCT